TTTTATGAAGTCTTAATTGAGCCGTCGGTATAAGACTTAAGGTGGTTGAATATCTTTGGCTTTAAACTTGTTGCAAGATGGCGACTGCATTTAAAAAAATGCTGTCTCGAAAAATGTCTCGAAACCCGTCTCTACTGTTACTTCGTTTTTATTGCTTGGAAAAAATGCTCTTGAAACGGACTTCTGTAGCAATTTGCGCGTTTCTCCTGCTTGTATTGTCTACGATATATTTTAAGGTCTCACGTACTGCATTCATTGTCTAGAATAGCAGGCCAGTACCTACTGCTACCACTGAAAGGGCTCGTTTTCCATACAAAAATGAAATTGTTGTGAGTTTTTATTTATACGTGATTCTGTTTGTTTTCGTAGCAGTACGGAAAGGGACAAGGCGGTCGTTGCTAGGATTATGCAGAACGGTCCACGATTGAGGAAGCAGCCATCCTTCTCGAATCTTCCCAATCTTAATCAACTGGTACAGCTGTGCCGCGTTATCGCGCGCTGATGTATTATCGGCTTGAGAGAAATCAACCACAGCAGAACAAGATATTATTGAAGCTGAGTTAAACAAACTCACAGATTAGCGTGTTTTATAGCTTAAACAGCTTTGTTCTTTCTGTATTTCAATTGCTTGGATCAAAAACCAACGATCGCTAAGCGCTAGCTTTTTGTCGACCACTAGCTGTGATAGCATTTCTCGAGAAAACGTTTCTTCGGAAGACTCGCGGTGGGAGGCGAATTACTGACAAATCCAGAGTGGCTTCGAAAATATCTGCCAAGACACATTAGCGACAATTGACAATTAGTTTTTATTATCATTATTTTTTCTACAATTATTGGGTAAGATTGAGCATTTACAAGCAAGGTGGACGATGTGTTATCAGCCGGAGCCAACGGACGAGGAGGAAAACATAATCAAAGGCTTTGATCATTCCCTTGTCGCGTGAGAACAGAATCCAATAATCGTTTTGTTACACATGGATAACGAAAACTCTGGCATTTCTGGGTTTTAATTTTCCAATAAAGCAAAGACTATTTTTTGGATAGGACACAGGAAGAGGCTGTTTGTAATAGATGCAGAGAAAATTGAGATTAATTTGAAAAAAAAAACCACACACACACACACAAAACAAAACAAAAATAGAACAAAAGATGAAACGACGGCTGTCTTTTTCGGTGGACGTCGGTCATCTCCTGATTTCCATCATAAAAGTCTTCCGTTGTTTTAAGCTAAGCCAATAGAATTCTTCGGAAAATGTCTTTTAAAATGTTGGAGAGAATACGTCAAACCAAGAAAAGGCGATCTTAATTTTGTCCAGAGGCAACGGTACGTCATGTCATCTTCGTAAAAAACTGAAATGACCATTTTGTTTCCTCTCGTTCGTAATATTAAATGCCGCTTTCTCTTTCCAGTCGATTAGTACAAAAATGTAAGTAACTTGAAGACCCTCTATCCTTACGGTTAAATCTTCCCCAATTTAAACCACCCTTAAATATTTTCGGTTTAATGCTACTTTTTAAGTGTTTTTCTATTTTAGAAAACTATA